CTCCCTCACACAAAAATGTTATAGCGAATACTATACTTTTTCTTCTATGCCGCGTTCCCTACATATAGCATTTACAAGTTTTTTTCTATTTGAATAGTATCATTTTTTACAAATTTATACCGGAATAACAGTCATCTATATAATTCTACCATAAGGTTATAAACTTACGATATTTAGTATTAAATTTTTAATAAACGGCGCCAACGAATCGCCTGAAACTTTAATTAAGAATGTCTTTTACTGCGATAAATGTTAGGTGAAATTTTTGTATAACTTTACTCCAGAGATCTACAATATGCTCTTTGCTTTCTGTTTCTTTCTCCTTATTTCTTCCTGACTTAAACTTTAAAACTTGATCCACAATATGTTCTTTGCTTGCCGTTCCTTTCTTTTTATTTCCTTCTGACTCAAATCTTAAGCCAGAAAAAGACGGAGAATAGGAAACAGGAAGCAAAGAGCATATTGTAGATTAGGCTGAAACCTCAAACCAGGAGATAAGAGATAAAGAACAAAAGAATGAGAATGAAACATTGTAGATGAGGCTTTAAACACTTTCGGTCGGAACTCCTTAAGTCCTTCGATGCGAAAAGTTTGAAAAATACCATCGCGTTGCGCTGCATCCGCCGCGTCTCGCTGCATCGAGAAAGAGATGTCCGAGGTGTGTGCGCGCGCGCGCGCGTTATTACGTGTTTGCGTCAAAACTTCAAGTCCTTCGATACACGTGGGCGAAGGACAGCCGCGCGCGTAGAGATGTGGGTCATTCTACATGCATATGCGCATAGTTGCACTCGGTCCTGTGTATCCGAATGCCCCAATGACCTGGTTATCCGATCTCGGCGTGACCTCGGCTCGTGACGCGTTCGCGCTCGCAAAATCAAGGTAAACCCATCGTGGCGCACATTCGCGATTAGCCCAATTCCGCTCTCTTTCTTTTCTCCGGCGTTCGGCTTTTGTGTTTCCGCCCGCCTCTCCTCATCACGCCGCCGCGAAGCTTCGCGCAAAGAAACGGCCTCGTGGCCTTCCGTCAACGTAACGGTATCGCACGGCGCGTGCCGATCTCCGCGTCCATTAGCGCGTCATCGTCGCGCGCTTCTCGAAAATTCGTATCGCACGTAATGCCACGTGATCCCGAAGTAAGCCGCTTCAAGTTTTACAAGCTTACTCTCGTCCCTGACCGATCCCGCCGTCGATTTTCCGCTCTCCCTCCCGCCGCTGGCACCGATAATGGTCTTCTTGGTGTCACGAGCGATCGAGCGGGGCTTTTCTTTGCTTCTTTCTTCTCGCCGAAGCTTCCAAAATGAGATTATACAAAGAGAGTTTATTCTTCGTTTAATTACCAGGGACTTTACTCTCGAGCGGAACTTCAACTCGGAACTAGGTGTCGGAATATTTCACATTGAACAGTGAAAAGTGGGTCGTTCTCCGCGTGATATCGTTCGATCAAATCGTGAGTAAAACTGCCGCTTCCTCTTCTCTTGAAATTCACTTTTGCGCGAAATATTTGACAAGGGAGCCGAATGTCACGAGGACATTACTTGAGCGGAATATTCGTTTGGGATATTCGTTTGGGATACACATTAGGATATTTAACATCGAACGTTAAAAGAAGTAGGTCGTTTTCCGCGCGATATTACTAGGTCGAATTCAGCAAGTAACTCTTCCAGCTCTTCTCTGCCTTGCGTTTATCTCTATGTGAAATGTTTATGTGGACCTTTGTCCAACATTCTCTTAGAGAACAGGGCTACGCGCCGTGTCCCCGACTATAATAGGCGGCTCATCTCGACTCTTTCTGCGATTGTTCGGCCAAAAAAATTAAATAAATATCCGCTATCTTTGTATCGGGAATTGAATTTACAACTGGAGCCGCGAAATATTTTCCAATCCCAAGACGATCTCGTGACGGGCGTGAAAAACGTATCATCAGCCTGCGATTCTAGTTGAAACGGCATTAGCTCCTTAATCCACTTATCCGTTTCATTAGAAAGGCAGTGAGACGTTCATTATACTTTCCAAGTCTACATGCAACTTGGCCGCCGATAGAACGCCGGCCATTATCCCGAGTTAATTTAAGATGATCCTACTTTTAAGATTATAAGTTGGCGAAACTCCTCCAAGTTGTGCGTGTCGAACTCGGCCTCTTAAAGTGATTATCCGCCACCGACATTAGCTTCAAGATTTACCCCTTTTTACAATATCTGCACTTGATTTAAGCCCCCGCATCTTAACCTCGCTTTAACCTTCGTGCTCTTTAGTAAAGTTCAGATCGTGCGTATTAGCTGCGTAAAAATAATTCCACGACTATTTATACCACGAAAGATGGAAAGATGCATTCGACATGATAGTTGAACGCATAATGATACTCGGGATTAGATGATTCTGCATTTGAGTGGTGTACGACAAAAGGACGACTCTCGGACGAAATCTCGGCCTTCTTTTTTTCTTTTTGAAATGAGCTCCGCTCGTTGCACTTTTCCGCGTGGTGAAAGCAGCGAAAGTACGATCAGGCTATGCGTGACGAAAGAAACGAAATATTCGACGTACTAGGCGGCGTGACATCGTTAGATTCACATCGCTGGACATTTAGGTGACGGTGTCCGGAGGCGTGGGTCAATCGAGGACAGATCCAGAGGCGGCTCCTCTGGCATTCGTCGAGAGTGCAAGTCACCCCTCGGCGAATTTTTAGCCCGCTCGCGTTCCATCCTCATCTTGTCGTCTGCTCTCCGTGCGAAACTCGTTAGGCCGGTTCTACATTAGTTGCAATTCGCAAGATCGTAAGAAAATTTACCAATCCTAGTCGATCGTTCTTCTTACGACCAGAGAAAAATTGACTGTGATTTTTCTCGCAACCTTGAGACTCGCAACTAATGTAGAACGACTCTTAGAGATTTTGCGCCGCGGACAACGCGATTAGTCGCAGAACGATCCAAGTTCCGCGTTTATCGAGTCGGAACGGCTGGAAACGAGGCGCAGCTCTAGACACGAAAGATCTCGACCAGGCGACAGAGAGAGAGAGAGAGAGAGAGAGAGAGAGAGAGAGAGAGAGAGAGAGAGGTGCACGTGACTCGAGTAATCGACTGGTGCTACATGAATAAGTCCCTTTGAAGTTTGGCTCGCGATGTACAAGCCGGTCGAGTCGATTCGACGAAGACGACCCTCCTTGCAATTTTCGTAAGTTCGCACACACGCGGATTTCGAGGAAGAGAGAGAGAGAGAGAGAGAGACTTCGAGAACCTCTCTCCAGCATTCGTATCACCGAAAGAGAAGCCGGCGAAGGACCTCTTCCTCTGTGCACGGCCCGGTGAGTTTGGTCGTTCCGAGAGTACGGGGTAAAAGTGCATCTCTCCTGTTGGGGCTACGTTAATGAACCAATTGTCGGGGGCGGTCGATCCACGCGTCGGCCGCGTTCTCTCGATCGATGAGAATCGCGCCGCGGTTTCGCGCGCGAATAAGCCTTGCAGCGCGCAATTTGCAGCTGAATGAAGCCTCGGGACCGGCCACCTGGTCACTGGCTGCTCGGAAAACCGATATCTCGTTATCGACATATTAGAAAATGACGACATTAGGGGTGGGATTAAGGTAGGCGCGTTAAAGCGCGCGCGTATTGTCGCTCTTGATTGCCGCGTTACACGATGTATTTCGTACTCTCTCTGTTCTTATTTTTGCATTAGAGTCGGAAAGGTGTTTTCCGCGGCTGAACGAAGAGAATGGGTCGGAGAAAAAGGCGTTTGTGCTAAAAGTAAAAATCCATGCGCAGGAATCAAGATTTTTAGCAATGTCTCGTTTGTTTGGAAAATACATGATGCTGTATCCTTGTTTGTTGTTCTATTTGTGAAGAGGGAGCGAGAGAGAGAGTGCGGAGAAAATATTTTTTACATTCGCTCTGCACCTCGTAAATATTTCTCGTAAATGGCACTTGCAATATTTTACGGCACTATCGGGAATTCTATTCGTCTAGCGAACTCTGCGCCGTTAACACACATTTAACGTCGGACAATCCGAATTCATGCAAAAAGCACCGTTCGATGGAATTTCCGCGAGGGGAAAAACCAAGTCCAAAAAATGTCCCGGCTTTTTCATACGCAAGTCGCGTAACAGTGCAGCGACGAAAAATACATGTCATCCGGCAGATTCTATTTTGCTAAAAATTCGTGGTTCGCTTTCTCTCGCGGCGTCGTTACTAATGCCATGAAGTCTCTTCGGAAAAATTATGAAAATGGGGGCGAACAAAATAAATTCACGGAATATCTCCTCTCACTCACTCACTCACTCACCTCTCTCTCTCTCTCTCTCTCTCTCTCGCCGCGCACGAGTTTCCTCATTATACCTTTATTATACACTCGCCCGCATTATTCCTCCGTTATACACTTTACAACAGGCAGCCAAAAGCGAGCTAGCCTCCGAGCCGCGCGCGAAAATTCCCGCAATGCCAAGGGGAAGTCTCGCGTGCGGCGGGGCGATAATGCTCGCCGCGGGGACGATGATTTAACGCTTTAGCAGCGGATTGTCGCGACCACGGTGACCGCGAAGGGTCACGAGCGGTCGGAGCGCGCCGAGCAGCCACGGCCCCAGCTTCGTCGTCGCTAATTATTTATGTTGTCCGATCTTCGCACCCTCTCGCGCTCCCCGCCGACGTTAATTGAATTCGCGTTCGTCCGAGAGGGCGAGACTGTCCGAATGTTAATAGGTGCGAGAGCGTACTTGCGCGCGCTTGCAATCGTGCTTGACAATTGTTCTTGGGAGTTTCTTCGACGTTTGTTCGCTCAAGCTGTCTGAGTATCGTTTCGTGACATCATTTAGCCGATAATATACGTGTCCAATTATTAATACCAATTGCTAGTGACGAAGATGACGCTCTCTACTGTGTCATCTCTCATAACAGACACTTGAACCTTCCAATAATACAGGCGTTTAATAAACTTGAAATGCCTAAAACAGCAACATTTACAAAGTGACTTTGATGGGCTCCTCACTAACTTTTATTATCTCTTTGTGCTTCACAGATAAATCTACGCCTCATCCTCGTTAGTGGCAAGACAAAAGAGTTCCTATTCAGTCCGAGCGATTCCGCGGGAGATATAGCGCACCATGTGTTTGAAAATTGGCCGGAAGGTGAGTCAGTCGTGTAGCCATTTCGAAACTCCGGTTGCATTGTATCAATGTCCATTAGCGTGTTAATATCATTGCTATAGTTGGCTTTCTCTTTTTCTCTCCCTCCCCCTATATCGTACGACACTACCCGCAATTACTACCATTAATTACCGATGCTATCGTGTCACGACAATAGCAGCACATTAAATCGATTATAGGACACATCTAGGATTTCGGATCCATTAGCGAGCCATCGGTAACAGAGAAAATTTCTTTCGGCACGCGCGTGATTGGCGCATGATGAATTCGCGCAGACACAAAACGAAATAATTGCATCAGTCGTTGAATTATAAAATTGCGACCAAAGGCACGCGCGATTAAATTACTCGATCAGAACGGGCGACGAGATCACGTTGCTTCTTTGAGGTTCGATTGGTTCGATAGTCTTCTCCCAGAAACTCTCTTTCATAAGTAGCTCAAGACAGAGAGAGAGAGAGAGAGAGAGAGAGAGAGAGAGAGAGAGAGAGAGAGA